CCCCCCCCCCCGGCCCTCTCTCACTCGCAAGCTTAAAATTTCACTTATCTTTACTGTTCTCATCAACCATCCAAGGTACCATTCTTTATTCTTTCAATGTGTGTCCTTGACAATGCATTTACTTCTATTGGAAAAATCAGTTAAGAAGTGTTTATAAATCACAGAAATCACAGTTGAAATAATGAGAGTTCCTAGGTCAGAATGTACGGTGGATTAAGCTAGAAGAACAAGCCATTGTTAGTTAATTCTTTCAGTGTTCCGTATTCAAGCATGCCGCATTGATCACTTTTGCAATTGGAACAAATAGTCTGACCTTGGCAATGAGAGAAAGAGCCGCTTTTTTCCATTGTTTGTGTCTCACACTTGATTAGTTTCAATAGCGATAACAGTACTATCCGCTGATACAACACGCACACATTCCCGTTCGCATCCGTGCGTCGCGTAAACTTGGCATTGGGGCGCATCCCTGTCGCAAAACCAACAAGAATATGTTGCCGATAGATTCGACAGCCGATATCCTGCTTCTGGTACTCCCGGTACTTTCCTTTACTTTTTTTTGTTTTCTTATTTACGGAAGGGAAGGAAAACTGAATTATCCACCAGGGCCGTGGGGCCTTCCTATTCTTGGAAATCTACCTCAGCTTGGTTCTACGCCACACATTGCATTAACCGAGCTTGGCAAGGTCTACGGAGATATGTTTTCCGTGAGGCTTGGTTCACGGGAAGCAGTTGTTTTAAACAGCGGAGAGGTGGTTAGACAAGCCCTGTTACAAAACTCTCGACAATTCTCCGATCGACCACCGATGTCCGCGTCTGCAATACGAGAAGTTCGGAAATTCAGCATTGTCTTCGGAGAATACTGCCCCGCTCATGTTCTCAAGAAGAGGTGCGCCTTAAAAGCAATTCACCAAGTTGTGCTCAACAACATGGGACATTTCAACAAAATCGTTCACGATGCATTTCTGGATTTCAAAGCAGACCTGGTCAACAAAGAAGTGCAAACCTTCAAGCCGTCCATTCACCTTAAGTTAGCTGTTATAAAAATTATCTTTAACTTCACTTTCGGAGAGGGGCCTCGTAATCAGCAGCTCTCGAAGGAGCTGCAAAAACTTGTAGTCGACTCTGACGAATTTACCGAAAGCAGTGCTGCTAGCGGTCTAGTGGATTTTCTTCCTTGGGTTAAACCCTTTGTTCGGAAGCAGATTGCTACAGTGGAACACTCAGTGGAAGTGCTGATTGATTTCGTGGACAAGGTGTACACTTCCCGTAAACAGAAAGCTGCGAATGACTCTTGTATTGCATTTTGCGTCACGAAGCTCTGGGAAGAAAAGGCAAAGAGGAAACCTAACGAGGACGTAAACATGAATTTAGAGGTGGAAGAACCAAGCGATCTTTCCTATTCATCACCAAAAGGCAAACCAGTCGACAATGGCGACGAGGAAATTGTCAAAATGATATCAACTGACGTGTTTGGCGCTGGCCTGGAGACGGTTTCCAATGCCCTAAGCTGGGCCATGGCTTACATCGTAAACAGCCCGAAGATTCAGCAAAGCCTGCATCGAGAGTTGGATAGCGCTGTTGGGCGGCTCCGCCTTCCTACCATCCAAGATAAGCCAAAGATGCCTCTTCTACAAGCTACAGTGTTGGAGGTTCTTCGCATTACTTCCTTGGTACCACTTGCTTTGCCTCATCAAACCTCAGAGGAAACAAAACTATGTGGGTACACGATCCCAAAGGCCACACTAGTCATTGTCAATCTGTGGGCAGTGAATCATGACCCTCGCGTGTTTGAGAACCCACACGTGTTTAATCCTTACAGATTCTTGAATGAGGACGGAGAGCTCTGCCAAAAGAAGACCAAGTTCCAGCTGCCTTTTTCGATTGGAAGTCGTCGCTGTCTTGGAGGCACGTTGGCTAAAGCAGAGATCTTTTTGCTGCTAGCTTGTTTATTGCAGCACTTTGAGTTTTCCAGCGCCACTGGAGGTAGCGTTGATTTGGAAAGTCATTTTGGACTCACTTTACGTCCAAAACCTTTCAGTGCTTGCGCTCGTCTTCGCTGAAAAGGGGGACCTAGCAATGTTATGTCTCACGCTTCATTGCTCAGCTCTACGATTCAGAAGCACTGCTCAAATAAACCATCTATACTGTAAAATAGTGTCAGTTACCAAGGTTTTTTCTACTAGTCAAAAATGCGAGAAAGAGTCAGGACTGAGGCGTATACTATTTTATTATCACTGTTATTTACATAATAATATATTTCGCCACGGTGGTTTTTAGTAAAAAAAATATATAATTTTGCATTATCACATTCTCCAAGCCATGTAACTGTGGGTCAAGGTGACTATAGTTGAATGACATTTCAAACTGCATTTGCCGTGGTTTATAGTCACTGGAGCTTTCTATTTAAACTTAGGAAACTTAAATCTATAGAGTATAGCCAAACATGTTTATTTTTCTTCCTTGTATTCATAATAGGTACAACCAATCTTATGGATCAGTCTTGATGGCGATCTGTGACAGCGCTTCGGGCTAGGATCCAAGACAAAATCAACATCTGTGAGACGTGTAAAATCTATTTTACACTGGATAGGTAGTATCTGTAGTTGGTGATATTGTTAATTTTCTCACAGTTTTTCTGGTTCAAAGGAAACAAGGCGTCGAAGTACAATGGAAAAGATCACGAAAACGCGACAGTGTTGTATTATAAAAAATTTGGACCTCCATAGGAGGTGTGTCATTCACGCGTAAGCACGTCACAAACACTTGGAGTTGTTTGTCACCGATTTCAGTTGTCTCGGTCAAGGTGACTGGGCTTGCTTCACTGACTTTACATCGAGCATACTTGAAATAGTCTACAGAGGTTCGAACTCTCCAGCAAAATGTGGCGTAATAGATGAAGAGCAGTGAAATTGTTTTTCTTCAGTTTCGATACAAAGAAAAGGCATCTATTACAAAGAAAAATACAAACGTTGGCTGCGGCGAGAAGAAAGTGACAAAAACGAAAATCAATAATCAGGAAAAGCGATAGGTCTTAGCAACTAGATTACGTTGTGTTGGCCTTGAATTTAAGTTCTTAACAAACAAGATTTTCTCTTGACCTTAAAAACCTTAGGAAGAACGCTTTAATCGGGCTAGAAGTTTTTTTGTTATATTTTATTATATATTGTTATATTTTTGTTAACTCTCACTCTCATAGGAGTAAATAAGCACCAGTTATTTTTCGAACTAATGCAAAATAATTACCGAGTTAAAAAGCACCGATTATACGATCGATATTCCTTGACCTTGTTATTAACTTGTTATTGGTAGTCAGCTATTGTAACATTGTATTATTATAACAATAGAAGCAGCGAGGTACACCCTGTCTCATTCGATTGTGTGCAGATAACTAAATGCACAGTGCGCTTACTTAATGTATTTTCTTATAATCTGAAAAGCGACCTGAAGCGATGTGGAGCTTCTTACGGAAAGTACGCTTTGTCCATCGCGAACAAAACGAAGTCAGTTGAATCATTGTTACTTTAGAAAAGTATGCTCCTCCATAGCGGACTGTATCCATCCCATTCATTTGTGATCAACAAATGTCATCAAAAACAACACAATATTGATTGTATTATTTAAGTGGGACTCACAATTCAATAAACACTACATACTCTAGATTGCTAAACCACTTGGAAAGAGTGGAATAATTAACAGCGCTTCCAAACGGTTTTAAGTCTTTTAGCACTTTTTTGTTTAGGGGCTCTGCTTTACACGTGTTGAATTCGCCGATTGTTTTGATCGTCAAATATATTCTCGTCCCTTTCAACATTTCAACATTATGGACGCATATAATTGGGGACATGTATGCATTAGGGCGTTGGCAAATAGAAAGTCATTCTGACTCCTTCCTTTAATACGACTTGAATCGTACAGTTACGGCACAAAAACTAATAGAAGGCAGTAAATTGCCTAGTTATTACACTACATCATGTTCTTTGTCTTCGTTCTTTAAGCCCCAAACACCCTAATCTTCCTAATTTCAATCTCCAAGACAGGAGCAACTTGTTACACTGACGAGCTGTTGTTCTCAGAACATGTATCATGGACCATTTGTCAGTTAATTAATTTTGGACGTAATTTGTCAATTTTTATTTTCTTCCTTGAAAAGTTGAATTTATAATCGAAAAAACCATTCTCATGGATCATGTTAGCGAAATCCGGACGCCTTCAGGTTGGAATTCAAGACTATATTAACATTTAAAAAACGTGTAAAATCTATTTCACGCATGAGTAAGTAACAAACACTTAGAGTTGTTTGTCACCGCGGATTTCAGTTTTCTCGGTCAAGGTGACTGGGCTTGCTTGACTGACTTTACATCGAGCATATTTGAAATAGTCTCCAGCAAAATGCAGCATAATAGATGAAGTGCAGTGAAAGTGATTTTACGATTTTATTTTACGTTTACTGTGGCGAAAAGAAAGTGACAAAAACGAAAATCAATCCTATAGCTACTAAATTATGTTGGCCTTGAATTTAAGCTCTTAACAAAAAAGATTTTAGCTCTTGGCGTTGAAAACCTTATGAATGAATGCTTTAATCGAGTTGAAAGTTGTCTTTTGTATTGGGTGGCCTATAACAATGCATGACATTATCTGATTTTCCACTTTCACACAGTAATAACTTTCGCCTGCTCTAAATCTCGGAAAAAAACGAACTCTTGTTTTCTCATAGGAGTAAATAAGCACCAGTTATTAACAGAACTAGGAAACATTTTTTCCATTCAAAACAATTACCGTGTTAAAAAGCACCGAATGTACGTCAAT